AGAGACTAAACTTCCAAATGGAGAACCATAACTCATAACTGCTGTCTTTTCTATTTTTCTACACACATCATTAGTGAATTAACTGTTAGCAGATGCCAATTCTTACCACCAAAAAAAAAAAAAATCTTTCTTTAAAGTATAGGAAAGTAACTGCAGTGAAGATCCACATCTGGAAGTCCTGCATAATTGTGAATTTCTCCTAACAATTCAGAAAATTCCAAGCAGTAGCTATTGGCAAACATTGTTTCATGTCTTTGGACTAATTCAAGATTTTTCAGGATAACTTCAGCTTTTTTCTCTCAAACATTGAGAACATTAAATTAAAGCCTTACTGTTTGGCAGAAGAAAACTTTAATTCAAACCAAGTGGCACCATGCACCACTGAAAAGTACAAGTGCACATAAAATTTCATCTGTAACTTTCCTGCTCACTCCTGCCTGCTGTTTTGATCATGGAAGTGTTTTTATGGTGAGGTCCAGGCAAATGCCAGGACACCATGGCTGTAGATATTGGCAACAGGTCCCAATATCTGGACCTGGGAGTTTTAGAACTGAAACATCAGTGCTGTCCCTCAGTTTAAAGTATGCAGGTTTCAGCCAAGTATGGGATGATCAAACTGAGAATTAAAAATCCAAGTGCCACATCCACAAGTCTCCACTGCTACACAAACACCAATTCCACAGACCCTGAGCCACCCAACACTGACCCTGAGAAAAATTCCAGTGCTGTGTTCTATACAATCACAGGAGGGCTGTCATTTTATCTGTAAGGGGGATTGATACCAACCATGATTCCTCACATCATGCCCACTCAATGAATAGCAGATTCAATTCTGTGTTTCTTAGTTCCAAAACACTAATATGAAAGATTGGTTGGTCTGCCTCTGCCAGCTGCACAGAAATCAGCTCATGCCAAATCCATCTTAGCCCAGAACATTATTATAAACAGATCATTTGTTTGACTTTCCATAACAGAGACATTCAATGAACTGCCTGAGCTGGAAACCAGCAGAGGGGAAAGATTTGATATATATAAAAGAAGCAACTTGAACAAATCCAGTAATTTAGGGGCACTGAGATCTCTTGTCCCACTCTCATCCTAACCTTAACACTGTCTTGACAAGGAAGGAAGATGAAGTTTATTCACTCCTCTTGGAAATATCCAGTGGGGAATGTCCCTGCAGAAAACAAGCCAGAAATACTAAATACTAAAACTACAGCTGGCTTTCTCCAAAAATTTCTTTTGTTAGAAATCCTGTCCAATATTTTTTTATTGGACATCCATTAGTCCAATGTGTGTTAGTCTGTGTGGTCAGGTTGTGCTACAATGCTAGATTAAATATTAAGCAGCAATATTGTTTTATTCTGTCTTCTCCCTAAGTTGACTTTTGGAGATCCAACTAATTTAGGTTTTTACCTTATTTTGCCCACTGAATCCTTCTAACCGTGAGACCAGAAAAAAACTGGAGGGCATTGTCCTGCTCCTAGAGCAAGTTTGAGTGCTGCAATCACAGAACTGCAGGATCTAAAATAATCAGCAACACCCTTCTGCATGTATAAAAAAGTCTCAGAAAGAGAAACAGCTGTATCAACTCAAGAGTATAGATAATGCAAACAAAAAAACCCCTCTTTTTTTCTGAGAGGAGGGAGGATTTCCAAGAATATATTTATAGGAATATGGCATAATTTACCAGTGTTTATATATTCAGAGCTCAGATTTTATCTGTGGACAAGTCTGCAACACCTAACAAATCCATGTAGGAATAAAAGATTTCTACCAAATCTCAGAAGTATGATAATTTATAGATGAATCATCTGACTTTTACTTTCAAAGAGGGAAGGCTTCTTAGCCTTAGCCTTTAAAATACTATTCCAATTCATATTAAATATTTCTTTTCAGAGTAACTATTTCCTCCTGTTTATTATTTACGCTTTTCTCAAGGCTCCCTCTGTTGCATCATTTGCTTTCTGTATGCAACCACACTGTTAAATTCCTGCTGAGCAGAGGATGACATTTCTTCATTCTTCAGGTGGTTTCCACAATCTCTCTGATTCTCAAGCACATTCAAGAAGGCTTTTTTTTTCCTCTACAACTTATTTGATTAAGGCAAGAGATTCACAGTTTCAGCAATTTCCCTTCTGCTCTCTGCAATACAAACACCCCCAGCTTCCCCAGCTGCAAAGGTTTCAACTCAATAAAACTTAGGGATCCTTTTTCTGAAGTTGTTCCATTTTAGTTTTCTCATCCAGGAGGAGATCTGTTCTTCAAGACTATTTTCCAATTGCTGTCAACCAGGGAGGAACAGGGTCCCAGGCTGTGATGGGATTCTGAGCACACCCTTATATCTGCTGACAAAAAATAGCACCTAGAGCCACAAAGTGTGTCAGAAAAACAGAATTTCAAAAGGCATGCCTATCTCTATTATCTATTTTAGAAATTTTCTGTTATTAGGTCATGTGTCACCAATGCCAACAGGTTGTGGAAAATAGCAGTGTCCCAGACACCAACAGTGCACTGGAGAAATTAAACAGAGAATATCACTACTTGCACAGAGAAGTTTAGGATGTTCACCACTGAATACTAAAGGCCTCTTCACATTAAATGCTATGAGAAATAAAATACAGGTCTTTATTAAAATGTGTGTGCTCATACAAAATTTCTCCTTGACATTTTAGAAGTATTGTAGTTTTTCCCAGGAACCAAGATCTAGACAGCTCAGAACTCAAATGACATTTTCATTTTGGAAAAAAAAATTAAAAATAAAAAAACACCCACTTTATTTGCTTTTTCTATCTGCTTTATTGTTGAGAAATCTGTAAGAGAAAGAAAAAACTTTTCTTTTAAGGTATTTCCTACAGTCATTAACAGGAGTGACAGGTCCCTCATGGGAAGGGTGGACTCCAGCACAATGTGCTTCTCCTACAGGATATTTCAGAAGTTGTGGCTGCCAACTGACAAGACTGGCCCAAGCACAAAGAACAAGGCTCAGTCTGTCACTGGGGCCTGTAAGATTCCTTCCAGTTGCTCATAAAGCCCCAGGTGCAGAGGAATCCCCAACGTGACAAAGGCTCTGGACACTGCGGCAAAACCGATGAAAGAGGAGACAGACAAAGGTCATCAGTGCTCAGCAGGGCTGGAAAACTCATCAGCCACCACTGCAGCAGGAAGGTGCCTCTGCCACATAACTGCTTTTCCAAACTTACCCAGACATAGTTAAATTACAAAAAAAATCAGAGGCCAGAAAGACCTGGTAGGTCTCCCAGTCCACCCTCCTGCTGATGGTTGTAAGGTGACTTTTCTGTATTGCATCAGATAAAAGATGCAGTGCTACAGGCAGTGTGTGGGGTCTGGTTTCCATCCAGCCCCAGACTTTAAACAAAATATAACTGGAAATTCATTTTGGTCAAAACCAAAGTCTCTCAATAGATAGAGAACATAGACTTCCACATAATGCTTGGATGAGTCCTGCCAGACACAAGCACATCTGAGCACATATTTAAGACAGAAAAGCCTGAAGGCAGAGGCTTTGAATGCTGTCTATTACTAAATTATGTTCCAAATAAAATGAGAGTGAAACATCAGTAAAGCTTGTCCATCACTGACAATGTAGCTTAACAGACCTACACTGATAGAGTGGGGTATGCCAACAAAAACTCAATAGGTTTTACTGATACCAGATCTTCTCATTTCCTAAGTTCTCTGGCAAAAATTGATTTAAGCCTGTTCACTTCCAAGGATTTATAAACATGCATACCTAATGGACTAGCTAGGACAACCATGGTATGAGCTACAACACACAAATCAGGTTAAGACCTGCATTTGGAAGAAGGGTGGTTTTGACTTCCCACTGCACCACACATTTAAGGAAATGTAGCATATTAAAAGCATGAAGATTCTAAACTAAAACACTTACTGCTCTCACACCACAAAACCAAGTTAGTACTAAAGCAGCAATACTGCAAGGATTTGTCTTTCAAGAAATTTTAATATATGAAGATGACATGATAAGAAAATATTGATACTAAGGGTTTTGGCAGTAAAGAAATTCTGTTAGAAGTCAGTTTTGACAATTCTTTGCATCTAAAAGACCTATAAGTACTAAAATGTCATCTGTCTATTCATGTGAGATTTAGCTTTGGCAGTGTTTCAAAAGTGAAAAAAAACACTCTTTGTTATATATTTTCTCTAAGACAATGTATTTTCAAAGCTAAGAGGTCATATTCTCTGGAGAAGAACAGTAAGATGCATATCAGTTACAGAAATACTTGCAGAAAAGAGCTAAGTTTGAATACTCACAAGAACCAATGGGTCAAACTGTGGATAAAAGCACAAAGTGTGGAATTTATTGTCAAGACTTGGAAGTTAAAAGCTTTCAAATAATTTCTTCAATTCAGACATTCATTGCTCTGTTCAAGCTAAATTAAAGGAACCACTTGGAATCTAACCTGGTTATCTCCATATAAATTTGTCTGTTGTTAAGTGATGTCATTATCACAACCTCTCCCTTTTTTTTTCCTTTTTTTTTGTTATGTGCTATTCCACATACAGGACTGGAAAATTGAGCTGTCTGGCTCACAGGGCTGTGTTTTTTTAAGGCTTTAAAAAGGAAAAGGAGAGAGAGAAGGTTAGAAAACAACATAAGACAAGCAGTGCACTAATTGTTCACCCTTGACCTCTTCCAAACCACTGCCAAACTGTCACCAGTTGCCTGAGCTGTCTTTATGCAATTCAGCTTTGGTCTTTTTCAACAGCCACAGGGTAAAAAAGCCCTTTAAAAGCGGGGCTACGCATCAAATAATAGAAGATCCGTAACTTATTTTTGTTTTTGTGTATGAAAACAAATGATCTTTAATTTACCTTGAAAAAAACTCCTGTGAAAAGATTATTCACTCACTGCAGTTGGTGATCCATCCAACTGTGGTGATCCTGCCAACTGTGCTCAGCTGATAAAGACATTAAAATAACAAGAAATTATTACATCTAATTTTCTGAGTACTTACAGATTCTTGGATTTGAATGCTTCAGCAAAGTGCTGCACACTCTGAAGAGAAGCAAGGTCTAAGGTCATTGCCTCTACCTTGGCTTTATGCTGGAACAAGAGAAAATATAAAAAAGGATAAATAACAGCAAGTTCAGTTCACAGTATCACATTACAGTAAATGTGTTATGAAACTTGTCTGATTCCCTTGTTTAACATTATAACCCCAGAGTGAATACAAATCATCAAAAGGGATGGACAAGCACAACATTTAGTGCCAAAAGTAGCATTTGTGATTTGGTGATTCTGCTGAAAACACACACTATGTAATGCACAGCTTTATATAATGCAATGAATGGACTCAAGGCGGTGCTAAGGTTAATAGCTATCTTTTTGCTTTGATTTTGACAGTGAAACTTATGTAACTCATGAAATAAAAAGTAGAGTAAGTGCTATTCTCAAGACATGCTATTTTTTGGAACCATACCAATAGGAAAAAAAAACTAATAAATATTCTATAAAAAACAGCTAACTTGAGATTGGCACCTATTAATTTTAAAAAATCTATTTTCCCTAGTAGGGGATATAAAGGACAGTATAAAATGACTACAGAAAATAACAAATCAGTCTATATAATGCTTTCTACAGTAAGAGTTTACCAGGACATATTATAAATGCACTTCTCTGCCACAGGTTGTGGACTCCCCATCTCTGGAAGTGTCCAAGGCCAGGCTGGATGGGGCTTGAACCAGCCTGGGATAGTGGAAGGTGTCCCTGCCCATGGCAGGGGATTGGAACAAGATGGGCTTTAAGTTCCAACCCAAACCATTCTGTGATTCTGTGTCTTCAAAAGAAATTTTATATATACCTAAAGCAAACGTTTCACCTAGGAGAGGACACACTATCCCAAAAACACAATTTTCAGCTTTAAGATCCCTGCTTCCAGATATTTTGAAACTCCAAATCTCAGAACAAAATGAACCAAAAGATGTGTGCCTATTTTCATCACAACACTAAAGTCATCACTGGTGGTTGCACCAGGATCTGCTGGGATTACAAGGTTACACCATGAGCATTGCAGGAGTGATGAAAGGACAGAAGGAAGCCAGGAAGTCTCCCATTGTCTCCCAAGCTCAAGTGATCCATCTGACTTCCCCATTTCATTGCATCTGGCACTTTTCTCCCTACATCTGTTTTCAATTTTGCTAGTACCCGTTCTGCCTGCTACAATTACCTTAAACAGAATATCATCACTCCAATTCCTCTTGTCCCATTCCAGCCAGAGTTATCAGGACAGCAAAACAAACACAACTAAAATTTCAACAGGTTCAGTCTTCATAGGAACTATCAATTGCTGGAGTTGGAAAATGCTAAACCAAACTTTGCTACAAAGAGGTTTTTACCCCTACAAGATGCACATCATTCTGGAATTCATTTTGCCCCACTGGGTAAATATTTTCTTCTGTTTGATGGTCAGAGACTTGAGAAAGATGATGCTGCCTTGCATTATGCAATGGAACTCCAGAATAATTTCTCCTCTCTGCAGTTCAAAGCTGTTTACTCACTACAGAAGTCATGTGCATAGCTGGGTTTACTTTGCCTCTGCTTTCCTCAGTTGAAATATTCTCCTGTCTCTCCCAAGGGTAAAAGCACAAGAATGGTACAAATATAGGGACATAGGGAGGTCAAAAAACATAATAATCAAGTAGTTCAGCAGGCTAGGCCACAAGCTGCCAGCCACTGTCCTCTTGGAGACAAGGATTCAAGTCCACACGACATCACTCAGGTAATGCTTTTCCTCTTGGTGTCACATATTAGGCTTCAGCAACAAAAAAGGTACTTTTCTGTACTTCATGTCCAAAAGAAAAATATAGTATGAAGCATTCAAAATACTTTCTGAAATAGAAGGTAAGAAGACTCAGATTGGTCTGATTTGGGGATTAATACATTGAAAACATAAAAATCAGAAATTTAAAAATCATATTTTTTTTTCAGCTTTCTCCCTGCTTTTGCTGTTTAAAACCTTGATGGTTGCAGCCTGTATTTCCTTCACATACTGAGCACAAATACATTTATTCTGTTTTCTTCAAGGGAAAAACTGGAGCATGGGACATCCAAAGCACTCAGAACCTGAGTGAGAAGCTGACACCTCAGCTTCTGAAGGCACCCAAGAAGCCAGGTGTGAGTGTTTTCTCCAAGCACAGATGGGGAAGAAATCACTTTATTGTACCATGGGTTTTGGCAAGTTCCCCAACTTTTGTCTCTCAGATTCTCCCCTCAACTGAGAATCCAGCACCTCTTACCCCACAAAGGTTTTCTGTAGATCATCAATTCCTGCTACAGTTTGAGACTGTGAAATGCTAAAATTTTAGTATCAATTCAATTTTATTTAAATTTTCCCACTGTTACTTATATCACAATACCTCTTTTTAAAAAAATCTATGAATAAAGCAATATACTTGCAAGATATGTTCTTAATAATGTAAGAATATCTCCATAAATGACAAGTAGAAGGTTTTGTGTTTGTTTTCTTACAGTAGCTCAGATTAACCTCTGTTATAATGTTTTCCTCTTTCCCTAGAAGCCTAGGTGTCACATATTGTGATATGTATACAAGAGCATAGGGGGTTTTCATAAAAAATAAAACTAAAAATCATTTTTGCTAAAAGGCATCTTAACTGTAATTGTTCTCTGCAGTCAGAACTGATTGGTAATGGTATGCTGCAAATCCTGATCTAATGTGTCATAATTGTATTATGCTGATGTCTCTCACTACTTCACTTCACATGTTTTCAGCACTGAATTATGCCTCATTTTATGTTGTGAAACCTTAAATGAGACTTGCCACCTTCCCAAATACAGCAGACAGTCTTTAAACTACCATCATCAAATTAATACACTAAGCCAGGAAACTCCAGAATTTTGAAAATTAAATTGACAAAAGGTATTAATGTTCGCTCTACTGTTTTATTTTCAATTACATCATTTAAGGAGAAAGTAGATACTGAAATGAGTGTAGAATAATTTAAAGAGCTCTTTTCTAAACCACAGGGTCATAACTACGTGGTGCCTTTGAAAAGCTGTGAAAATGAACTGCTGTCCTTGCTGCAGGTACCCAGGACAAATGTCCCACCTGTATCCAAACCCCCTTCAGGACCAGAGCCAGATCAGCCCTGTCTGCTGAGCCCTGAGAAATCCAGGTCAGCCAGAACCAACTGAGAGGTTTGAGTTTGGGATGGGGGTATTTGTATTTCACAAAGCCCAATGAGCAGTTCAAATCTAACAATTTGAATCCAGGCATTAACGTGGTGCCTTTGAAGAAACAGACAAAGGCAAATCAATCTCCAGTTCCAAACAAGTCCTCTTCTAAACCCAACACAAAAACACTTTGAAAAGTCCAAAGAAAAAAAATTATCTTGTATTTCATGTTTCACATTCAGTTCTAAAAGCCTTTCATCAATATTTCCAGGTAAGTTTCATTACTCTGTACAGCCCCAGAAAACAGCTTATTCGGTTCTGTATCTAAGCTGCTCGCTATTGGAGCAAAAATATTAAAAATGCTTAAGTGCAATTGGCTATACTTTGCACTCATGCTAGAAAAATGCTTATTGAGCCAGAAAGTAACACAAAAGTGAAAACCCCCAGAAAGCCAGCTATTTCACTATATGCAATGCATTCACTTTACAGCCTAAAAATTGTTTAAAAATGAACACTGCATGGTAGAGTAGTTTGGCAGTAAACATGATTGTGCATTTGTGTCTTGGTATTGAAGAAGGAGCCTTTTTTCATAGTGAATTTTTCATTCAAATGTAAGTGATGATTTACGTTAAATATAGGTAAAGCATAGCTACATTTTCCTGAAGGATTGCAAGGAAGTGAAGAGCAGTACAATAAGTTGAAGCATAAAAGCTTTCTCTGTCATAATATTTATTATAATGGCATATAAAATAGCTGAAATAAATAATAGATGACTAAAAGTAAATTCATATGATAAAGAATCTTTCAGCAGACACCATTACTTCTGACTGCTCCAGTTTCATACAGAGTTGAAGAGTCTTAATAAATATGCTGTAGCCTCTGTATCTTATGTAAGTACAAGTCATTTTGTGAGGGCCTACTTAAAATGTACCAGAGTGGACACTACATAATTTACTGTATAATTTCACTCTCAGAAAATAGTGTGTGTACATCTTCAATGTTTAAAAGTCCTTAACTCAAAACTGAATACCTGGCACAGCAACAGAAATATCTGACTTTGAGGAACTGAAAGTACAATCAATTGGTAAAAAGTGGTTTAATTTAATACAGAAAAATCTTCATGACAATGTCTTGGAATGCAGATAGTTCTGACAGGCTGTCTAAGAAAATCTTGGGGGAAAAAAGAATTTTACATCAAAGCTGATGAAAAATCTGTGGAATTATCTGAAAATAGGTAAACAAATAACTAAATCTCAGCATATGACAAGCAATGCCCACATAAACCCATATTTCCATGTTGAGGATGGAGCAGGGGATGTTTTAGAAGTACATCTGACAATTTGACACATAGCTTATGACAGCCAATAGCCAGTGCCATGCACCATTTATGGGGGCACCTAATGGGGAAAAAGGCTTTCACTCAGGATTAGGACTGCAGGTATTATTGTCCCTAATGTAGTCAACATTTGGTGCCTCATGCAAAACTGTATTTATGCAATGGCAGCTTCAGGTGGTTGTGTGCTCTGAATGCTCTGCAGCTCCTGGGAGCTGATGGGGATGGATGTATCCATCGCTGCTTTCAGAGCAATCCAGCACCTCTGGAAGGTGCTCTAATAATGTGTTCTTCTGATGCCTTTGGGATTCATCAAAGTTCCTTAGAAGACCTTGTGGTGGAGCATTTTTATACTCATTTTTCAATTTTTCCCCCCTTCTCCTCTCCCCAATATCAGCAGTATTTGTGCAGTACTTTCAAATTTCCACTAATTTATGCAAGAAAACACAAATCAATTTCCCAAATATTAACCACTTTACTAACACATTTATGAGATGTACAAGGAAACAGCTGGGACTAACTTGATTCTTCATGAAAATCAGAGATTTAAAGAGTTTGCTTTTCCTTTCTTTCATTAGAA